CGGAGGGCGCGCGGTCACCATGACTAAGCAGAGCCCGGCGACGGCGGTGTCAGAATAAAAGTCCCCGCGGCCCGTGGCCTCTGGCGGCTGGGTTGGCACAAGGGCCGCCTCCCCCTCCCCGGCCCCGCCAAGCTGCACAACCCCAACGCAGCGAGCGAAGCGTCGGTCATCGCCGCCCCGGGCGGGTCTGGGACCGCAGCCCTCAATGCACCAAGCAGCGTGGTCAGCGCCACCGGGATTAGAGCTCCCGGTTCGAGGCCTGGCCAGCCCCTGACAGCACCTGACATGGATGGACACCCTCCCTGTCGCCGCTGCTGGCGCGCTCACCTCTGGCCCCGCTGTAGCCTCGCTAGCTTTCGCTGTGGGGCGGGGATGCCCGGGACGAGGCTGCGGCTCTAGGCACGGTCGTTGCCACCCTAGCGCCGCGGGGCGGCGGCCGGGCCGGGGGCGGCTCCTGCCTAACCTTGGCTGTCGGGGACCCACGGACTCCTCCGTTGTCGGGGGACCTCGGCTCCGTGTCGTCAAGGCCTGCGGGGTCGGGGCCGTCGGGTTGGGGGCGGCCTGGGAGGCGCGGGAAGGAGGCGGGGAGAGAGCGCGGCGGGGAAGGAGCCGAGATTCCCCGCCCTTCCCGCAGGTGCTTAGAGCCTTGGACTGGGAGCCGGGCGTCGGGCGCTGGCGCGCGGCCGGGAAGCCGGCTCCGTTAGCCCTTAACACCGTCCCTTCCATCGCTCGATTTCGTCGTCTCAGCGCGGAGCTGCTTTCCTCCACCTGCCCTTCTCCCTTTAACGTTTGCCTCAAGATCCAGCGGCCGCAGGATCCAGCTAGAAATATCTATCTAGCTGGGGTTTCCTTGTCTCTACATTTTCGTTTTCTCCAGTCTTGAGGCGTGTGGAACTCACCTGCGGGGGTTCAAACCCCGGCTCTGCCGCCCTCTGGCTCTGCGCGGTGGGGACGTAACTTAACCTCTCCATGCTTCAGTTTCCTCGCTGTGAAATGGTCATGTGAATGCCGGCACCCAACAGATGTCAACTATTGCTGTTTTTCATGGCAAGGGACACTGATTTGCCATTTATGCTGTTTATGATATGAAGTTAACTTTTAAATAAATGGATTTAAGGTCTTTTAAATATAAAACTAAGTGAATAATGGGAACACTAGGCTGAACATACGTTGCTCTAAGAAAGGATTCTGCCAGCCTCCAGAATGAATTTGGAGGCTTCAACGTTCTTGCTCCGGGTCTAGGATTAAACCTGGGTGGAGGATGGGGTGGGGCTCCCCCTCCCACCGCCTTCCCAGTTGTCTGAGTCTACAGTTCTAGACCGCTCCAAAGGGAGGCGCATAGCATAGTGGGTGAATACAGGGAATGGCCAAGGCTGTGGGGGAAACTCACACCCTCCTGGAAGTAACCTCTCATATCTCAAAATCAAACCTACAGGCCCTATGACCCAGCGCACGGTGCCACTTGTAGAGATTTATCCAAGGTACACTCACACGCCTGCAGGAGTATGTATGTACACGATGTGTATTGCAGAGTCGTGCATAAAGGCAAAGGATTGGACTCAATTCATGTGTCCCTCCATAGGGTCCTAGTGCAATAAGTGGTGGCACATCCATGCTGGAAAATACTATGCAGTCAGTGAAAAGGAGCAAGACATTTGCTGTGTGAATATTTACCTGAATATTTTTAATGTTTTTTATTTTATTTTTAAGAACAAGTGCTATGGATTGCATTGATTGGGTTTAAACGAGGTCATGAGGATGAGGCTCCCATGAGGGAATTAGTGCCCTTATAAGAAGAGACACCAGAGAGCTCCTCAAATTCCCTACACTATAAGAACACACAGCCAGAAGGCAACTATCTGCCAGCCAGGAAGAGCCCTCACCAGCACCCAACCACCCTGGCACCCTCATCTTGGACTTTCAGCCTCCAACTGTGGGAAATAAAGTTCTATTGTCTCAGCCACCCAGGCTATGGTGTTTGTTATGGCAGCCTGAGCAGACTAAGGCAGCCGGACAGAACAAAATCTGTAGATGGGCAACAATTCCCAAGATATACTATTAAGTGAAGAAAGCAAGATGCAGAGCAGTGCTAAAATTGTGTAAAAAGATAGAAGATGTATTTACATTTCGGCTCATTTATTCACAGAATAGCTCTGTAAGTTTCCCAGGAGTCCCCACAGTGATCATGTCCAAAAAGGGTAACTAGTGCTTTTTGAATTTTTAAAAATGTGAACAAGCGAATAAATCTACCATCATGTCATTAAATAACCGAACAATGGGGTGAGCTTCAGGGTCCCCGGGAAAATTAAAGGAGCCTGGGGTGAGGGGCTCCAGGCCAGGTTGGGAACTGGGTCCAGTCTTGGGACCATAACCCCAGGCTTTGAGTGTGTTTGTGTTTCAACAAATAGGTTGGTTTCCCTTGTGCGTGCCTGTCCGGACAGCCTGAGTGTGGCCAGGGAGACTGGCCCTTCCAGGCTGGGTCAGTACCCTCAAAACACCGTGGCTTCCTGCAGTTCTTATGTCTCTCAGCAGGATGCCTGTTGCAGTCTGAGCCCGAAGTCCCCCACGAAGGCCCCACCTCGCAGAGGTCAGGAATGCGCCTGGGGACAGCCAGGGACCATGGCCAGCATGTCTGGAGCCTTTTATGGGCACAAACGGGGCTCTAGTATCACCCACAGCAGAGAATGCAGACCCCCTCTGGAGGAGCCAGACACCAGGGCCTGCACCACTGCAGGCCTGCGAGCCTGACAGCCTGGGCGAGTGCCCTGGCTCAGGCACTGGGGCAAGGTACTCACTGCTTAGAGTCCCCTCACCTATAAAATGGGGATGAGGAAACTGACCTTGCAAGGTTGCAGTAAGGGAGAGTAAAAGGTATATCCTGGGCCTACCACTGGGACGACTAGCCAGGCACAATAAGCTGTAATTGGTCTTATTATTTTATTACATTTTTATTTTTTATGAAGAATCTGACACCACACTCAAATAAATCTTGTTTCAGCTAAGAATTGGCTGAGTCTCCCAGAGTCAAATTGTAGGGTGCCCTGTCTTTGGTGTCTTCGCCTCTAAACCGGAGAGCTGTCTGTGACTCCTTTCTCACTCTCATACTCAAGTCCTTAGTAATTCTGTCTGCTGTTTCCAAAATCTATCCAGAATCCACATGGTCTGAGTCCCCATCATCACTCTTCAGCCAGTTTAGTCATCTTCACCTTGTTCTTCTAGCTACCACCTTTGCCTCACACAGAGATTTGTGAACACCTGAACCACATCAAGTGCTTCCTTTATCTAGAACCCTCCACGGCTCCACCTCATTTAGAGCAAAAGTAAAGTCCTCCCCTGAGCCCACAAGGCCTTGTGGGATCTGCCCAGTCATCTCCTTGCCTTTGTTTCCTCCTACTCTCACCTCCACCACTGCTCCAGCCACACCTGAATCCTTGCTTTTCATAGAACACAGACACATTCCAGCCTCAGGGCCTTTGCACCCACTGTTCCCTCATAGGAAATGCTCTTGCATCAGGTGTTCCCAGGGCAATCATGTCTCAGCTCACATCACATGTCACCATCTCTGCAGAGAGGTCTCTCCTCTGACCACCATCGCATCACTGTATTGTCACTGAAACAATCTCCATTATTTCTTCACTCCATTATCTCCTGTGTCCCCGCCAGAACGTCAATTCCACAAGGACAGCGATTTTTGTCTGTTTTGTTCACTGTTGTGGGGTTTAGCGCCAATAAAATACCTTTCCCTGCATCTCTTCTCTCCACCATCTTCGGAGGGTTTTCCTATAAATTCCATTATTTACAAAGAAAAAGTCTGCAAAACAGCTCTTAGGTAGGTCAGTGGCAGGTCAGAGGGTGTCATTCTGTGGCTGGTGTGGGTACCAGGGTCCCTGCGGCTGTGGGTGCACCGGTGGAGCAGCTGATGTCCAGCCCGTCCCGCTGGGGCAAGGAGTGCTCAGAGCGGCTGGAGCTGCCATCCAGGCTGGGGGGCAGCCAGCGGTGCAGGCCATCCAAAGCCCCAGCGGCGCTCCCGGGTCGCCGGGAGGCTCCGGGGCCTCGGCCACAGGGGCGGCGGCCGCAGCAGATGAGGCGCAGGAGCGCGTGGCGCAGGTCGCGGTTGGTGAGCGTGTAGATGATGGGATTGAGAAGAGAGTTAGCCATGGCCAGACCAAGGAAGGGGTCGGCCTGCAGGAGCACTGGGCAGGCGCGCGCCGGGCACGCCACGTCGAGCAAGAGCAGCAGGAAGAGGGGGCCCCAACACGCGACAAAGGCCAGGAACACTATGCTGAGAGTGCGCAGGAGCGCCAGCGAGCGCTGCGTGCGGCGCGCCGCTCTGGAGGAGACCCCAGCGGTACCCGCGCGCTCCCCAAGGCGCTGCGCGTTGCTGCGCACCTGGCAGTAGATGCGCGAGTAGAGCGCACAGATGGCAGCCATGGTGCCGAGGAAGGCGAGCACGCAGAAGAGCACGTAGGCCTTGGCGTAGAGTGGCAGGACGGTGGAGCAGGCGTTGAGGCGGCCGAGGCAATTCCAGCCCATCGCCGGGAGTAGCCCGATGAGCAGCGACAAGCCCCAGGCGGCGGCCGCCAGCGCCAGCGTGCGTCTTCGCCGGGCTGCTGGCGCGGGTCGCCGGCGCGCCATGGTGAGACAGCGCTCGAGCGCGACGGCCAGGAGGCTCAGCACCGATGCGGCTAACGCCACAAAGACGCCACCCTCTCGCACGAACCAGAGCGTGGGCGACAGCCGCAGCGTGAGCGGCCCGGAGAGCAGGATGTTAGCTGCGTAGGCAGCGCCCGCCAGGAGGTCAGACAATGTGAGGCTGCCCAGGAGCAGGAACATGGGCGCATGAAAGCGCGGGTGGCGCCCTAGCACAAACAGCACGGCCAGGTTCTCCAGCACGATGAGCGCGCACACTGCCAGGCACACGGCGGCGTCGGCGCGCAGGCCCGCGCCGGGCTGGTAGCGGGCGCCGCGGAGCTTGCCGGTGTAGTTGTAGTGCAGGACGATGACCTCGCTCACCGGCGCCGGCCGCAGCAGCCCCGGCTCCATGGGCCGCCCGCCCCAAGGCTGCGGAGAGGCCGGTGCAGTGTCAGGCTCGGCTCGCACCATCCTCGCGGCCTGCGGAGGCGCGCACGGGCCTCGCAGTACCAGGAGAGGGGCCTAACCCCCTGCCCTCCATCCCACAGGTACTGTGGGGCGCAGGGGTAGTTCGGGATGAAAAGGAGCTGGATAAGGTGACAGGCTGACAGAAATAATATTAGAGGAGAGGGTGACACAGTCCCACAGTTCCTGAGGGATACTCCTAATTCACACACAAGCAGGGATCTCTAGAGGCATATTCGACCATAAACAGAATGCACACAAATACAGCCACACACAGAAGGGGACACACAAATACTGTGACACACCAGCAAGGACATGTACACACAGTCACAAACTAGGGCAAAAATACAGTCAGACCCCACTAGGAAAACCCAAAAATACATCCATCCATGCACAGAGGCATAGAGCGACAAACAGCCACATGCAGACAGGGTCTCACGCCCAGGCACACAGGCCACAATTTCACAACCTCCACCCACACTCAGCCTGGAGCCCGGGGCTCCACAATCTACATGTCTTGTTGCACACAGGGCTTTTTCCTGCCCAAACCCCTGCATCTACTGCAAAAACCCGTGAGAAAGTTGAGCCTATCTGCCCATTTCACAGAGACAGAGCCCGAGGGCAACAGACAGGATCCGCACCACACAGAGAGGCTTCTGCAGAGAGGCACACATGTCATTAAAGTGTAATAATAATTCCCTTGCGACTGTGCCCTTTAATCCCCTAGACAACTCTCCCCTTAGTCCCATTCACAGACGAGAAAACTGCGGCTGACTGGAAGTACCTCACAGAGAAACAGGCACAAAGGTTTTCATGCTCCCACAGAAACACAGTCACGCGGAAACGGTTACACAATCGCACAGGTCCCACTTAACAGGGGAGAAAACTGAGGCCTAGGGAGGGAAACTGACTTATTTGGACTTGGCTGGAGCGTGCCAGGGGGCTTCAGTTGTACACAGGGATCCAGGCGCAAATACAGACCCACAGAGAGTCTGAGCTTCAGTCAGGCAGGGGGGAGGGGACATCCAAGACATGCAGACACGGGTTGCACTCGCTTTGATGGGGATTCTGCAAACAGGCCCACACCTCTGTACCTCCCGTCTGGCCTCGGCTGGCCTGGCAGCAGTCCTCAGGTAGGGAAACTTGCAGTGGAGTGGCTCGGAGAGGACAAGGCCCTAGAATTCCAGGCGCCCCCACCCCCAGCCCTCGCCAGCATCCAGCCCGGGGGGTCGCAGCCTTTCTCCTCTCTAGAGACCTCCGGGAGAAGCCCTGGAACTCCAAGTAAGGGGACCCGGGTGGCGGCCAGAGCAAACTTTCCGGGCTAGACCAAGTCGCGCGCGCCCCAGTGCTGTACACTCACCCTGCGCCCCGGTCTTGCGCGCCCCGCAGTCGCGCAGCCTGGAGTCCAGAGATCGGAT